GGGATCTTTCTGTGTGGAGTTTGCATGTTCTCCCTGTGCAGCGTGGGACAGTCAGCTGGGATAGACTCCAGCCCCCCGCGACCCCAGTGAGGATTAAGCGGTGTATAGATAATAGATGGATGGATTGACAGGTTTTTTTCCCCATCGATAATAATTTCTATTACTAAGTAAGGGTAATCAAGACAAAGATGTGCTGTTGGTGCTCATATAACCACAATTAAACCCCAGCTGCCTAATCCTACCAGATGTATTGCTTTATTTTTTTTTAAATGTTCAGTGAATCACAAAAAGGCTGTTGGAACGCCTTGAACACTCTATAAAGTAATCAAAGAGTTAAATAAATGCTTGGTAGCAAGAAATGTATTACTTGACCTTTGAATTCATTAACTGCAGAAGCTGCAATCGTTGCTTTCATGAGCTGTGTTGCAATTACGATGGAGGTTATTACACCAACTTTATATTGTGTTTAACTTGAACTAAACTTCTGCATGAAAATCAAGTTGTGGTAAATTAATTAAATTTGCTTTGTGGCTTCATTTTTCGCCTTTTTCAAGTCCTTAAAAACTCATGTGCTCATGCTACCAATTATTAAAGTCAGCTCATAAAAATTCCATTAAACCTGATGCTGTCTGCTCATTGGTCCACATAAGCACCTTAGAAGTAAAAATAACAGCCTGACACCTGATTAGATGCTATAAAATACATATTTCTGCACTGACATACGACATGTTTTCCCCCCACACAGTATATAGTACAATAATTGATCACTTCAGGACAAAAACATTAAAATGACTAGGCCAGTAGAGGACAACAACACATGTACCCTTTAAGTCTATTAATATGAAGGCTGCCGTAAAGCAGAGCGCTTCACCCCGTCGTCCTTGGATAGATATTTCACATACATTGCTTTGGCCTCGAGTCAGGCAGTATGGAGCCCACACCACACTGTACGTGCTGGAACGACCTCCACATATGGCTGAACATATGTGGGGAAACTTTTCCACAGATCTTTGCCTTACATCATTATTAGGCTGAAATACGCCAATTCTGACAAACGGACCAATCAGAGCAGGTGATCACATTTTTCAAGATGCCGATGAGAAAAAAAAAAATACAAAAACCAATCCAGTCACGAAGAGAGTGTCAGAGAAAACATATAGGCTGGAGACTTTATAAAAGGACATCAAAATGAGAATAAAACGTGATTCAAGGGAGTAAATGTGCGTTTCTGGGGCGTTTTATTCTAAATCTGCCTTCAGGAATGTCACATCTCTGCCGTCAGATCTACATCAAAATGAACCTGCCGTAAATATTCTGAATGTTTGCATCCACTGAGGGGATATGTGCGGGGATGTACAAAATAAAACCCTCTGTGTCGCATTAATTGATCTCGCATCAGATAATTAAGGAGAGATTTGAGGACGCGGGAGCGCGCCTTTCCACACCGCGTCCTCACTGCGCTCCACAGAGGCACGCTTCAATGTCACCGGGTCCTTTCTGAGCATTAATCACAATAAAAAAAATGATAAAAACAAAACCAGGCGGTTCGGACTTACAGCTGGGTGGTGCTTGAGCTGTTTGGCGACGGTCCCCAATATAGACGACATGGCGGATGTCTGAGTCCGTTAACGCGAATATCAGCCGGCGAAAGCGCGCTCCTCTGCGCAGGATCTGAGCGTGTTTCCTGCCGGCCTGAATGTACAGAGAAACTGTACACCTCCTCCTTTACCGGCAGCCAATCCGACAATGCAACGCCAACAGCTGTGCATCCGAAGCCTGCTGGACTGTATGGATCATGTGTGGGGCTGTAAGGGCTTAAAGAAACCTCACTGAAAGATAATCATTAACACACAACAAAAATGAGCCTTCAATGAACATAAAGACACGTGTTCTGAATTTTAGAATATAGAAAAGGATTGTTAGGATCCATTTAAATGTGTATATTCCATACCTGTTAACAGCCACCTTCCTCATGTAGCTACAGTTGAAACCAGAAGTTTACATACACTGTATAAACAGACATATAACCTTTTCTTTTTCTCTTTTTTTTTTTCTTTTCTTATTTTGGCTGTAAAAGAGTCAGAAATCCTATTATGAGCGATTGCTTTTATCATTTTTTTCCAGGATAACCTAAGCTTTTTAATATCTGTCATAAACTGTGTTAAGATGTGAATTTATCAACAATTTAAAGTGAAAAAAATCAAAATATGAATTGAATTACAGACTGGTATTGAACACGAACAAAAGGTTCGATTAGATCTGGTAAAGAGCATGTCATTAGTTTAATCCAGGTTTAGAAAAAGTTTAAGGCTAATCCAGGCCTTTTAAAAAGTCTGATTTTAACTTAGAGCAATAGGGGGTGCTGATGAACTAATGTCATCAGCATAAAAATAAACAGAGCTGCCTCTAACCTCTGGCCCACAGCCATTTATATAAAGTGTGAACAGAAAGGGATCCAGCATCCAGCCCTGTGGGACTCCTAATGTGACTTTAACAAAACCACATTGATGACTGTAACCATGGCTCGAGTTCTGCCACTAAGAGCTGTATAAAACTAAACACAAATATTTGTTTAATGACCAGTTGACCTCATTCCATCATGATCTTCATCAGCAGATAAGTTTGCCCAGTTGTCAGGGGTTGTGGATGTCCACATTTACTGCTCCTTTTCCTATAGGTTGGATTTACAGGGGTAAAATAAAAAAAATTATTTATTTATTTTTTTAAATCCTTAAATTGCAGAGGAAGATCATGCGATAGGACCTAAAGATCTGAAACCTGGCTTCTTCTTTTTTTCTTCTTATTTACTTCTTTTGTTTCAGTCTGTTCACCTCCATGTTTTGTCTGAGAACCCACTGGAAACAAGACTCTGCACAAAATGAAACAAACTGCTACAAAATCTTTTTTTTTTAAATGTACAAAGTGCAATATGATGCATGAGCTAAAGACCTGAAGATCTGCTGAGCCACTGTTTACTTGCAAAGTATTTCAGCTGCGTCAGGGCAAAACTGATTCATCTCAACTGTGACGGTTATCTTTTTCCACCAGCAGTTCGCTTTTTCACATAGCGGAGGAGGAAAATAAAATAGAAATATTCCAACTACTTTAATAGATAAAAGTGTTGCAATGCTGTTAGAAATGTAAAAAACAGATGCAGCCTGATAGGACGGTCAGTCTGAAACTGCATCTTCACTTCACTAGTACTGCAAGCTACAATATTTTCCTTAGTTTGTCTTGTTATTTCCTTCATAAGTGATTATTTCCTTAAAATGGTGAAAATCATTAAGAGTTTCCCAGAGCCCACAGTGCCATTCTGATTCTGACCCTCATGTGCAACAAAGAAAAGCTGCAAATCTTCACATCAGAGAAGATGGAAACAGATAACACCACAAAGGAAGCTTATAAGGTATCACTCAGAATACTTAAATGCATGCTGTCTATAGACACATTGTTTCTTTTATTCACTTTAAGGAGATGACTTTGCTTTTAGTATAAATAAATAACTAAATAATAACTATTTGAGTGCTAAAACAAAGGCAACTGGACTTGCTTGAGATTCTTGAACCTCTCATTCAAAGGGCTTCTTCATTTCTGATGAAGTTAAATTCAGCTTCCTTCTTTTTAGCACTAAAGCACAACATGAACTGAACGACTGAGAATCTTCAGACAGATTTAAGGACTTTAAAATACAATCCAGGATAAAAGGGAATGGGCAACTAAAAAGGTAAAAGTATAAACATGCAAATGACTTGACAAACTTTTTGTTGCTTTTGGATGAACATCTGGATCATCAGGCAGCAATGTAATCTTGGCAGTACAGAGAAAATGAACTTAAAATGATAACAGTAAGTTCAGGGCGTATCAACACCAACTTTCACACCAGCTCTGTTACCGTAACGCCGGGAGGAAATGTTCTCTATATACGTGGTAAATGTCACATTTTTAGCCATGGTCTCATTTCTATATGAGCCAAATGAGAGCACAGTAACTCCCACCTGCAGATGAGAGCATTAAAAAAAATAGGACTAATGCAATAATGACAAGGACTACAGATTACCATCATATATTTATGTGGACAGAACACAGAACCTGAGATAACAGCACATCCCCAGCATCCACAGTGACTCAGGAAACATTGCAAGAGGATTATTTGGGAAAAAAAAAAAAAAAAGACAATGTTTCAATCCATCAGCATTTCACCAGGACACTAAAACGAGAGGAAATTAGTCAAAAAGATCAGACCAGTCAACTTTCCATCCACATGCACACACACACAAACAAAACTGTCAGAGACGATAAACCAGGACTAACGTATGGAGGAAACCTCTCCTCCTCCTCCCGCTCCATGTAAAACCCTCTCCTGGAAGTGCATAAAAATCCACCCGATACAATATCTCACGTAACACCTGCCTCAGTTATATCGACAGAACAAAACTAGAAGTAACAGGGGTTTTTAGCTTATGTTGCAGGTATTTGAAAAAGATGTAGAAAATACACATTACTACTCTGAAATTTACACTGAAGTACAAAAAGTGAATATAAAAAAATAAGAATTGCGACTCAAAAGTAGCAGTTCAATTTGTGCAAACATGTCTACCAGAAATAAAACTATTTGATCATCAACTTGTCAGCTTGGCAGAACAAAAAGAACGTCTTTAGAGAAACGTTAAAGACGACAAATCTACACCACTAAAACTGGTTAGGTAGTCAACTAGGCCGTGAAACCTCAAAACTATAAACATACCATCAAGCACACATCTAGAACAATCGAGGAATAATAGGTCTTTAGCCGTCAACACGTACACAAGTTACATTTTTCTTTTTTTTTTGCAAGTAAACAACATGACAACAAAAGCAACATACTTTTAAAGCAGGAATGCATGAGCTGAAGCCTGGTGGGTATCGACGCTACCCAAGTCCAAAAACTGGAAAATTCCCTTCAGTCTACAATAATCAAAAAATGTGATTTCATTGTGTTGTTTCTGTTAGAAATCAGGTAAATATAAAGTACCCAACTGATTTGTCGTGCTTTGTACACTAGTAACAGGTGCAAGGTTGAGTTAGGTAAAAAAAAAAAAGAAAAAGAAAAGTGAGTTGCAGATAAAGTTCTTTGAATACTTAAAAACAAGCAAACTTATCCAAGAAGGAGTTTTCGTACTCGACCCAGACTCCTTAAATTTTGAACATGCATGGCTTCTTTGGGGAAACAGACAGAAATCTGTGCAGCGAGTCAGCAGTCAGTCATCCAACAAATCACATCTGAGACAGAGTTAAGACTGGAATAAGTTAGCAGTCCTCTGTCTCCCACTGGATTTTGGCCAAAAGTATATCTTTGGATAATAAAATGATAAAACCAAAAGGCCTTTTAGTCAAGGAAGTTCAAAATTCTTGGAAACCCAAAACAAGTAGCTTATAAAGGAATGTCTTTTGGATTGTGGATGACATTTAATCTTTCTTCCAATATTATTCTTTATTTAACATAACGTTAATTTATGCCTGTGTAGAAAAGGAATGAGACTTTCCTTAAAAAGCAACACATCTGTCCCAGATTACTGAAATATTTGCATTATAATCATCTCCACAGAAAAGACCTGCAGCTGTGATCAGAAAGCGAGGCCCTCTCCGGAGCTTTCTCCCGTCACAGTGGAGGCTGCAGGAGGATCTGGAGGAGCGGCCCTGTTGCCAGAGGACGTTGCCTGGCAGGAGTTTGTCCCCTGGCTCGAGCAGCTGCCTGCTGGAGAGACGGCGAGGCTGCGGAACAACAGGTCCATGGAGGGGAGCAGAGGCTTGAGGAGGCTGACGGGGCAGAAGGCTGAGCCCCCATGGGGGGTGAAGTTTACCTTGTTGGGGTCTGGGCAGGAGGAAATGAGGGCTGGTTTGGGTTGGCGTGGAGTGCTAAAGAACGAGAGGAGACAGGTTGTGAGGCTAAATTAAGTTGGGGAAATGAGGTTTGGTGACAAACATGTTCACAGACATGACTATCAATGTCATCACTACTATATTTGTCACTCAGAAATAAACTTATAGTCACTTCCTTTGCCAAGACCTCACGAGTGAAACGCCACCTTTCAAACTGCACACTTTTAATTTCACTCACAGTACACACTGCAGCTGCTCCTATAAAGTACACACTGTTGCATGTAGTCTGCACTCAGGTGGGACATTTCACCTGTAGTCGGACACAGCAAACGTGAATTGACCTTAAAAATCATCTTCCTCATGTATCTGTCCAATCTGCAGCATTACATCCACCCTCTGTGCGCTGTTAGCGACTCCAGCTAGCTCAGATTTGTACAACACACTGATGCATCTTTCACTTTGCGGAAGATTGTGGTTCAGAATGATGACAAAAGCACGCCAACTTGCACACTGCAGAATGTAACCACATGTATACAGCTGAAAATTCTGGTCTATTTGGCAGACTGCATTTGACAGACTATGTATTGGGACAGACTAAATGTTTCTCTGTATATGATACAATACGGTAATATGGATACTGAAACACACCCAGAAGATGGCAGGCTTTACTTGACCCAATTCTGTAACAAGCTACACTCACATGAAAAGAAAAAAAAAATCAAAGAAGAGAGAGAAAGAAAATCAAATCAAGAGTACAGCGATGCAGCTGAAGTTGTCCTTAAAAAACGAGCTGCAACGATTGATCACATATTAGATTAGTTGTCAAATGTTAAATTAATCACTCACCATTTTGATAACTGACTAAGCGGTTTGCGTCATTTTTCCAAGAAAATAATGTAAAAAGATCTTTTAATTGCAGCTTCTTAAATTTGAACATTTTGGGGTTTTCCTTCCTTCTCTATTGCAGCAAACTGAATGTCTTTTAGTTTGTGGACAAAACACATTTAAGGACATGATTTGGGGTTTGGGGGACACACTGATGACAAAACCAAACTACTAATCAATTAATTGACAAAATAACTGTTAGTTGCGACCTTGCAATAAGCAGTGCGCTGCAAATTCACATGAAACGGTTCAGATTGAGTTAAAAATGAAAAGGACCTAAACAGCTTTAGCATTGACAACATAGTTGTGTCACAACAGTAAGGATGGAGGCAGGATTGTTCTACATGGACAGACACCATCCTCATTCTGACGTAACCACGTCCAAAGCCCAACAGCAACCTACTGCAGCTTTAAATGTGTAACTTCTATTGGTGAAATATTGTCAAACAGCATGTGAAGAGTTATGAACAAACGTGTGTTTTGTGAGGTCACAGTGATTTCTGACAGCCGAAATCCCATCACTTCATTGTTCAGGTAAAGTGAACATTTGTGCCATATTTGAAGAAATTACCCCCAAGATGCACAAAACATAGAATCGCTGATAGGCCTCAGCTGTTCCAAGCATGGATGCATAACAATTATCTATAGACTCATACAAAAACGAGCCTTGTAAGTGTTTGGTGATGCATCTATCTGCACAGATCCTGCCCTCTGTCTGTATTTTGTCAAACTTGATATGTGTCTGTGCTGCAGCCTTTGGGCAGCAGGTGTGTAGTCAAAAGACAGAACTCAGGGGAGGCTGAGACCATCACCTACTGGTGAGAACTAAATAGGATGAGGATAAAAAGCAGCATGGAGTTGTCCTGTTTTTGTTGGGCAGGTAGGTGTTGGTGATTAGATTAGCTGGCTTGCTAAAGTATTGGCTTTTCCATGACAATAAATGTAAGGTTCCTACATTAGCTTGCAGCACTTCTGATGGTGTTGATCTACGGAGGAGAGGCCAAGTATGAATGTTGAGTTTACAGATGGCAGCTGAAAATTTCTTCACAGTGTACCTTAAAAACAGCAATTTAACGCCTAACCCTTAACAGACTTGTTCAAACAGGCAGATAAATCAATAGCAAATACATTTTAAAAAAACAACTAGCAAATAGTTGTCACCAGAGGGCATCGACATGCTGACTCTGTTTGAATTGGGGGTAATTAATTCAGCTCAAGTCCATAACTACCACCAGCGGAGCAGACATGAAGGAAAAGTGTATCCAAAACAACACTTACCTGATCTCCTCCCAAACTCGAACCTTCTCGCAGCCCTCTGGAGGTTCTCTCTGGAAGCAGCAGCTTTTGTTTGGTCCTGGGGAGGAGGAGATGAGCAGAGGCAGCGAGAGCTCAGCCTCATTCTGGGAGGAGAACGGAGACAGGAGGCACAACTCTGCACCGTCTATTAACCCTGAAAACAGGAAGGACGGGAAACATCAACAAAGATTCAACAAGCAATTTGCGAGAAAGTTATTTTTAAAAATGCTGACAGCGACACAGTTGGGCTAATTCCAAGGTCTTGCTATTTTTCTTGCTGAACTTAACTTAATGTAACTAAGCCATCATTGTCGTTGGGATTAACACTTGTGCTTTTCCTGGTACGACAAGTGAAAACAACTGCTGTGAAATTGTACAAAGTACAGACAAATATACACAAGCTCCAAACCAGTGAGTTCAGTTTATGTTAACACATTCTGAGGCAGCACAAACAGACTATTAACTCTTAATTCACTTCATGTTTTGGCACAAATGGCACCTTTACTGGCAATATACTTGATCACTGAAAAACAAGCTGGGGGAAACTTTCTGTCATTTCCTTTATAAGATAAAAGGAGCAAAACAAAACTTCAAAATGATGTCAAATGCCTGTAAGATACACAACAGCAAGCAGTCAGCATCTCCTGGTGTACCACCAAGAACAACCGATTCTGTTGTGTGAGGTCTCTGAAGAAAACAGACCTCGCAGAAAGTGCATCTTACTCAGGATTATTATGTGATTAGTCTAAGTGAGTTATACGGAGGAAAACAAGCCAAAGAAATACATTTCCTCAGAACTGTGTTTAAACACATGATGGGCATGAAATTACACCTTTGGCCGATGCTTGATGAAGTGATCCCGTCCAGAACTCTCGTCTTTAGTCTGTAACTGGGCTACTATTTCTAGGAGACAGAAAATGTGGGAAAGAAAATGTCCAGCTGAGAACTGATTTAGGAACTCCCTGCCTGACAGAATTTGCACCCGTGTGGTATGAGCCCAAATCTGTCAGGTCACCCACTGTTTGTGATGTTGAACTCGTTTTAAATGCAAATATGAATGTTTAAATATGGTAGTCATTTGTGTGGTTGTTTCCATTTTGTTTTCTAAGAAGGCCTCAAATAAAAACAAAACCTTCACTGTAATTCGTGGCATTTCAACCTCCAAGGCTTTTTTTTTTCTTCAAAAGCCGTTTGCCACAGGGTTGTATTTCCTTTTTTAACTTCAAAAACTTACCAAAAAATTCTGAGTTCTGAGAGCAACTGCATTAAATCACATTTGCATCTTGCAGAGCTTATGCATTTTGACTCAGTGGCATTAACGTGTTACTTAACCCTCTGAACCCCAACATGGCTTCTCAGGTTTGAAAAGCATGATATCTCTAAAAAAAAAAAAAAAGACCAAAATGACCCAATTTATCAGAGCTAGAAACTCCAGAAATAGAAAAAAAACCTTTAACTTTCCATTTTCTAGCAGTTATGAACTACTCGTCTGTGATGCGCTGTTCTATTATTTCATTAAAAATGTGACCTTTTGTCAAATCGCTTTAATCTTCATGTCTCATTTTAAAACCTTTTGAACTAACCAGACTCTGTAAAAAAAACAAAAACATCCTGAGCTCCTCGTCACAACCTTTAATCCATTAGTGACTCGACTGTGACCAACAGCCATGTGACAAAAATTCACTTTTTTTGGCTGACCTGAGGTGAACTTCTGATTGTTTTTACACAGATAGATAGAAGATGAATATGAAAACAAATTAAAATGTGAGCGGTAAAATGTATGTTCCAGTTTTGGTAACACCTGTGGGCTCTTGGAACAACTCAACTTTTCTTGTTTTTTTTGTGGTTTATTCTGTTTCCACTGAGGTGCGGGACTTTGTGCCCACATTTAGTAATAATGTGACAGAAGCAGACACCCAGAAACTGTCTGAGATAAACCACCATGGAAGCTGTATAAACTGTGTCTGCTATTTTAGGTCTACATATGTCTGTTATTTTGTCCTGCTGTAGGGGCTGCAACAAACAGAACTATAGATTGTTTCATCAAATTAAAACCTTGACCTAAAAAGCTGAGAAACTCACCTTGGTGTAGGTCCAGAGGAGCGTCTGCTGAGTTGGACTGGGAAGTGCAGACGTAGTTGGGGGAGGAGCAGGGGGAGGAGGAGGTGGAGGATGAGGACAGGGGTGTGGTGGCGGGGTCGCTCTGAGATCCGCTGCTGCAGCTCTGCAGAGGGACTGGAGCCCGGTGACCATCTGGAACCTCGAGGAGCTGTCGAGACGGGAAACAAAACCGTGCAAACTGTGTAATTAAAATCAGCTACCACGGTATTAGGTTCAGCAGAAAACTAAGAGTCTTTTCAGGAATCTTAAAAACAACTCAATTCATGGATTTCTTCACATGTGCGTGCTGTGTAGAGGCTAGGAGACGGTTACCCTTTGCTGTGGGTGTGGTGGCTGGCTGATGAACATGCCTTCCAGCTCCTGGTTGAGGCCCTCCACGCTGCAGCGCAGTCGAGGGACCAATGTAGACAGGGGAGCGAGGGGGATGGGAACAGGCTGAGTCTGACAACACAAACAAGTTAAACAGAATTCAGGCTGCTTTACTCTTGAGATCCAAACAACAGACAAGACACTGTTTTTTATTTTCTACAGTTCTCTTCTCAGGTTTGCTTGTTCCTTTCTTTTGTTCAACTACATTCTCTGTATAATAAAGTGCTACATAAATAAAGCTTAAAACTAATCCTGAAGCTGTGCCATTCTGTTCCCAAAGCACATTCCTAATGACTAAATATTAAAGCATCACATGCTTCAGATGTGACAAAAATTCAGAGTTCCACAGTGGTGTGTTCTTATTTGAAATCGTATCTTTATTGGCTTGTCATGTCACCACTTCTGTCTCAAACCACAACAGCTCAGTGGAGTGTGGCACAACGCAACAAGACGGCACAGACCAGATGCGCTGAAAAGCAGAACCATGCATCTCATTCTGAAAAGCAGAAGCTAATGTGATGTAGCGATCTTCCTGTTGCCTTGGTGTTTTATTTAATTCACTTCCTGCAAAGAGCTGTACAGCTTGTCTATCATGAATGTAGATCAGTGATACTTGTCTGGAGAGAGACAGGTTGTACTTTTTAAACAAACTCTAAAAGTGTCCACATGTATGTTTGAATGTAATAACTCACGTGTTTATGTGTAGTGATGATATTAAGGTACCTGAGTGGTTCCTAAGCTACAGCTCCCCTGAGGATATCCACGCTGGCGGTCTTTGTCATGTCCCCCTGAGGCTGCAGGTTTGCTGCACTGCTGCAGTTGTTGTTTTAGTTTAGCAATCTGCAATGAACAAGGGTTACTGTCAGTCAATCAGCCTGTACATCGAAATGCTGAGAAGTCCTGTAAATCTAATTATAACACACCTAACAGCATGGTAGAATCGAAAGCATGTTGTAAACACTTTTGACTTGTGGTAATTTGATTATGTGATAATTCAGAAAGAAGATGTGACGAGGAGTGTGGCTTCAGTGAAAACAGTGAAAAGGGAAGTTTCTTTGCAGATGAGCTCATCGGTCTGCTGTTCCTCCATGATGTCAAAATCAAAGTGAGGGCTTTTAGAAGAGCTTGTCCGCTTTGATAAAAAACAAAACTAAACGGCCAAGTTTAGCAAATCCGGTTTTTGCAAACGTTTATTGAGCAACAAAAGCAGAAACTGACCTCTCGCAGATGCTCAGCGCTGCCCCATGATGCTGAACGTTTGTGGCTGCTGCTACCTCTCCTGCTCTGAGATTTGTCTGACCATGAGTCTGGGGTCTGTGGAGGGAGAACACAACCATGAGAACTGACACTCTTCATAAAGGATTACATGTGTCTACTAAATAAGTAACATACATTCAAATCCTGGCCTGAAGCTGTATATGCAGCATGTTAAAATCTAAGAGACAAGTGTTGCTTTGAAGTCTCGCATTACATTGAGACTTCACGCCAATACTTTCACACTTGCAGAGATCATACGCATACTCTCTTTTCACACTTGTAGCAGAGCAAAAGAGCAGAAGAAACTGAAAAACAAAGAGGGAGGAGGATGTGGGCAACCAAAGAGCAGTGGCGAGTGCCTGCACACAGAGCAGAGAGGATGGGTGCAGCCAAAACGGCCTCGTCAGCTGACTTCAGGGACTGTTCTCATGGCTGTGGTTCACACTTTGTAATAGCAGTGCAAGCACCGGACACTCCCTCCCTGAGCAACTTTTTTTTTTCTGCAAAAACTGCAAACTAGTCTTCTAATGCGGCCCAACCTCATCCATCCTCCAGAACATGACTAACAGACACATTCAAGAAAAAAAAAAAAAAAATCTACTCTAAAAAAGGAAACAGTGATAAAGAAATGCATTCCACTCATTTCTTCCTGTCAGAACAGTTCAGATTCAAACTTGCCAGCATTAATATTATTTCCACACTTTCTCCAGCTGGAGCTGACCTGGGTGGACTTGTCCTTGCGAGACAGACTGCTCTGGCCTTCGGGTTCTTTCGGCCAGTGTCCCTGCAGGTACGGCCCGATGATGGCATCAAGAGACAGCGTCCGCCTCATGCCTGAGCTCAGCTTTTGTGATTTGGCCTTTCCAGCTGTCGGTATCAGAGACAACTTTTTATTTTACAAAAATAATCTGCAATTGATCAGGTTTTCATCTAAAAATAACGGCCGTTAATGCTGTACATAATCAGAAAACCACATACATAATACCGCTGTTACCAAGTGATTCAGCAGCACATAAATATGCCAAATCTGTCAGAGCGTTTCATTCATTTACAGTAAGCGAGCTTTACATCTACAGATGAAATCAGAAGATTAGAAGACTGACAGAATATACTTGTACCAATTGTAATCACTGTTTAAGTGATTTATATAGAGAGAAATCCCAAGATGCAACCCCATTCTTTAGAATATAATGATTACCTGCTTTTATTTTTTGATATAATTAAATAAATATTTTGTCAATCTGAAGATGTCACCTCGAACTATTTCAGAAACTAAACATTTAACCCCTTAAGCCCGAGAGTCTTGGGCTTCACAAACTCATCATGAAAGAATATAGTGATGTTCCCCATCAAATTAAACAGCAGAACCTGGGCTACAAGAATATAGAAGTCATTTTACATGCCCCAAACACAACTCAAACACCAACAGCACATCGGAGCAGGTGCGGCCTAGTTATGAGCCACTTCCTGTTGCATGTTGGGCCATGGTGGAAACGCACTCTGGCTGGAACTTGGAGCATACGTGTAAAGTTTCAGGCAGATTGGAGCACATACAGGTCAGTTACACAGCACATCTAGTTGTATAACGTTTTATGAAGGCATCTTTTCTTCAAAATGCTGGACTTCCTGTTGGGTTTAGGGCTTGTTGCTAATTGACTTTTTTGTGCGTCCTGAGCTGCTACACATGCCCACTGAATTTCGTAGGTCTAGGTGAGACGGCCTTCCGACAGGACTCCGTTGAATGCCGGAAACACAGTGAAAATGCGCAAAATGGCCTTTCATGGAAATTGGACAGGCCGGCATTTCCACGCCATCACACTTTCGCGGAAGATTGTAATACCTTTTAATCGCCACGTCCTGTAGTTTATGCTAGCCAAATTTCAAGTGTGTACGATGTATCCCCTAGGAGGAGCGGGAGTTTGAAAATGGCCAAAAATGAGCGAAAATTGTCGGGCATATCTGCCATTTTTTCAAAATGGCGGATTTTGCTGTTGGTTTTACAGAAACACGCTGATGGCCTTTTTTATTTGTCACAAGCTGCTACATATGTGTACCAAGTTTCGTAGCTCTAAGTCAAACGTAGCCCCGATGGGAGTCTGTTGAAATATTGTAGGGGGCGTAGTTGAGCAGTGTTGCATTTTAGAGCTTGGCGCTACAAGTTTTTTGTTCATCCTGACCTACTCTACATGCCTACCAAAGTTCATAGCTCTAGACCAAACGTGCTTCTGATGGGACTCGGTTGAAATTTTCAAGGTGGCCCTGTGGAGCCATTTTGGCAGTGACATGTCCGCGTCCCTGACAGTTTCTGATTTTCACCAGTCCTGATGTGTGTGGTAATTTCGGTGAGTTTTTGAGCACGTTTAAGCCCTCAAAAATGCGCTCAAAGATGGCGTACGAATAGGGTCCTTGGTGTGCTCGGACCCTAAATATGGAAATCGATATAGCGCCACCCAGTCAACTCACTCGCCACATTTCTGGCTCTATCGCTTTGGTACTTTATGCACAAACAACCCCTCAAACGAAAGCAGACAGTCCACAGATTCCAAACATGTCCATCAAAGCTCTCGGAAATCAAAGCATCAGCGAGAAATAACCCAAAGAACAGCAAAAACCGAACTCACTTCATCTAACTGTAGTTGAAAAATTTCTCTTCTCTCCTGTTTCGACACGAAAAGTTTATTTTTTACGGTAAATCCACATCGGAATAAGTTAGTACTACTTCCTGTGTTACACTGAAATCCTTCCGGGCGTCTTTAGGAGGCTTCATTAGCTGAAGGGAGCTACGGAGTGAACACTCGCTGAGCAAGCGGCTCGTCTTCAAGATGGCGTTCTGCTGATTCTGATTTGCTTAAAGTGCTGTCAATCTCATTTTGGTGGTTATCGCTGTCTTCTATTGGCTCTAATGATTCGAACGAGGTGTCAATCACTGAAATCGACCAAACTTTACGGAGATACAGCTTTGCGTCACCACAGGAGCTTCACAGCAGTCTGATCAGCATCACGCACAGGACGCGTAACACAGACAGCGGTCTGGTTGAATTAAACTAAAAAACTGCTGTATTTGGATGTAATTAACACCATTAGTGATATACAAGTGAAATATATAGTGTGCACATAAGAAAATTCAGATGGTCACATGTGCAAAAATGTGCCAAAATGTCACCTCGCCTGAACTGTCTGGACTAAAAACTCTCTAAAAAATTTTTGTTCTGCTTCACTTTATCAGAGTCCAGCTTTGCAGAGAGAATGTTCACATATTGTGCTCTGATCTGGGAGAGGTTTAGAGCTGCAGCTGGATTATTCCAAAGAGATCATTAACCTGAAAGTGCTTTCTTTTTTAAGGCGAACCTGAAAATGTTTAATTTGTGCGTGTGCCATCTGCATTTATATATACTGATCTCTACACATCTCACAAGTGTTCCTTTTATTATGACAAGAACTATTTTTGGTTGCAGAGATAAAGTGTTTTTATTATGTAATTTTCAAGCGGAGGCCTGAAAAATAGCTCAGGGCGTAACAGGTTAATCAGTAGACAATGAATTTGCAAATGATTTGAACCATTAACCACGATAATATATCAGAATCACAGTTTTATTGCCAAGCAGGATTTCACATAAGACGAACTTAAAGTGGCATTTTGACGTATAACAGTAAACACGAGCACGTAGACAATGTTTAAAGACAGATATAAAGAATAAAACGGGGAGCAAAGTATTGAAAATGTTACTGCAGAAATAATAGTAATTACTTCTGTTATTATTATGTGTTTATTTATTTTATTTAACCTTTATTTTACCAGGTAAGTTAATGAGAACTGGTTTTCATTCTCAATAACGACCTGGTCAAGAGGCAGCATATATGTATAATCATTTGTCAGTAGTAATGGTTATAATTGTTTTTTTATTTGACATATTACTAGAATTGTTAAATTATATACATCAGGTCTATTTTATTGTTGTACAATTCAATTCCAATGACAGTATGACAGGCCATTACATTGAATATTAAAAGATTGAGCTAAATTCACATGAAAACAACACGATGCACATCTTCAACAATGAATGAATAGTTAATATGTAAATGAGGGCGAGTTGAAAAACTAACTTTAGAAGTAAAAGATGCTGCAAGAAGTTATTATTTCATGGTTGGATGCTGCTGCAGATGTTCTCAGTCAACAGGTTTAAGTTATACATGAGTTCATCAAGTGTCTACAAGCAAACTTAATGATGGATGTAACTGGTGTGAAACAATGAAAGCCTGTATTGAACTACCAGCCCAATATCTACATGTTCTATGAGGTTCTAGATGATCCATTCGGGGCTACAGGTGAGAGGCTCCTACCTGACTTCCCATCCCTCCGGTTCGGTCTCGGTTTGCTGGCCAGCTGGTAGGGAACAGTAGCCTTGAGGGGCTGCGGACCCACAGCAGCAGCAGCAGCAGCCCTGGTGTGTCCACTTCTTCCAGACATGTCTAGAGAAACAAACCTGGGTCCACTTAGCTGCTGTGTGACGGGGCGAGCAGCGGTGGAGATGTGGGGGCGCCCTGGTGGTGCTGGTTAGCTACCAGCTGCGACTCTTCCTCTTCTGCTGATGATGACTACTCAAAACCGTTACAAACTTCAGTCTTGAGTCACACAGACGCCATTTCCAAATAAATTCAACTAGCAGCGACACCCAGCTCGACAGTCGAGACGGTATTAAGAGCTAACAGTCACGTATTCGACGTTTATCATACTTTTTTTCTTTCTTTTAATAATCGGGCTTGTGTGCGAGTTAGCAGCCTAGCAAGCAAAGTTTCTTTGTGAGGATGTTGCGATACTTCAGTCCGTTGTCGAACGAGGAAGCAGCTCCAGTTTCAAAAAGTCACTTCAACGTCAACCCCTACGTCTTCCGAGCAAACTTTGAAGTGTATTTCATTATAGGTTTTCGGCCCGGAGCGTGTTTTGGTAGCCCTGAAAGTTGGACACCGTTGTCTGCCCTCCGCGTTCTTGTTGTAACGCAAACTCCAAACACTTCCACCACCACGCTGGTGTGGATTTAATTATATGTGGGAGGGCCCAAGTCTCAACTCTCACTTCTGATTGGGTATCGAAGCTCCTGACTTCAACCCCATTGGACAATCCACCATCAATCTGTCAAACCTCGGACAATGTCACCGCCCCCAATTCATATCTCATGCTAACTGATTTTCGACTTTAAAATAGGCTGAAATACCAAATAAAAGCTTTTTAAGTAGGGAAGTTGAAGGTTTTAGCTACTGACTGTGGTATTTCTGTTACAAGAAGTGCTTTTAAAACATGCTTTTAATGGCTGCAGCTTACCATTTTGGTTGAACTCCTCTGCCATGTATTTAAAGGGCCACACCAGCCAGTTTCAGCTGCAGCTACAAATCAATAGTTGAAGAGTAACTCTGATCTACTGCTGATATAAAACCAACAGTAATGGAGTATAAACATATTCTTCTACAAAGAAAGAAATGCTTTCAAACTTTATTTGACAGCTGGTAAATGATAGCATCAAAATGTGTTGAATTACCAAAAGTAAATGTCCTGTTTTAGAATGATAAGCCGTAGCCCACAATGTATTATCTGAACATTATTTTTCTAACAATCTGAATAAAAAAATGGCCCACTCACTGGTATTAATACCCCCATGAACACAAATGATCATATCAGTGTCACATTTCTAGCATTTTTTACTAGATGATGACTCATATATATATATATTTATGTATTTCTCCACCTCCTAGAGTTCCTAAATGGATGCTTTTTGTATATTTTTTGCAACTATTTAGTGTCTATGCATCACTTTGTAAGGCACATGGTAGAGGTATAGATAATGTTAGCTGCTTTATGTACTGCCGAGCAGATTAATTCATAATATTACATCATTATTTGTTATCGTCATTTGTTAAACATTCAGGTTCTGCAAAGCATCTTGTAACCAAAGTAGTGGAGTGAAAAGTAAAACAAAATTAAATAATCAAGTAAATGACCTTAAAATTGGACTTTATGTGACTAAATGCACTGTTCCACCATAGCTACTTATGTGATATATGCATTTATTTTTAAATTTACAATACATGATGCATTACATTTCTCATTTTTAGATGTACTCATTTTATTTTTATTATTATGGATATGGGAGTGTGCAAACTATCTATCTATCTGTGAATTTCTCCACTGTGAGATAAATAAATAAAGGCATATCTTATCTATCTATCTATCTATCTATCTATCTATCTATCTATCTATCTATCTATCTATCTATCTATCTATCTATCTATCTATTTTTACAGCATTAGAATGAATGAAAACCACTGGATAACTAGCAGTTAGATTTTCAGTATTGCTGGCTGTGATATAAAGTACATGTTATTTGCAGTACATGGGCTAAAACATACAAAACCACCTGACATGTTCCTCGAAGTGTTTCATCATCAACTTCCATCACTCTTTCATTTGTAGGCTAATAATTTCCTCATGCTATGGGTGTGTGTGCATCATCTGGGTGGACTGTGAAGTGGTTTTGGGTGGTGTGCCTGCATTTGTGAGACAGTGTGCATTGTGGGAGATAAATTACCAGACTGTGTAAAAAGGGAGTGTCTGTGGTGGGACAGGAGGAGAGGGCAAAGATAACGTGACGACACTTTTAAAAGCCGATCCCAGATCAGCGCTAAAGCTCGCCCAAACTGTTCTAAAACGTGCATTTCTTACACGGGACCTTAGCCCATTTTTAGATAACACACTTGTACGTCTGTCAAACCAGACTGGGAGTGAAAGGGTTTTATCACAGAGGAGATGAAGTGCTGCAGCACGTGATCAGCAGCATGTTCATCTATCTCGTGGAACTGCACCCAACAATTGATGTCACTTTCACAAAACAGCCAAAGACAAAGCCAGATAGCTAAACAAGACTTAGCACTGCGTCCTGACGTCCATTCATTTACAGCCCGGGAGTTAATTGGACAGTATGTCGATCTGGAATGTACCTCTTACATAATTTCCAACATTTACCCAAAAGACCTTCAGCTGGTGTTTGCGTAACCCTGTGTATTTGTCCGTGTTAATGAATAAATGAGCCTGACCTTTGACCTCACGTGAGCTTTTTCAAGCCCATTTGAAGAAAGATGATGTCATTCTTCACAGAGTTAGGTCACAATGGGGAGACGTGAAAACAAAGAGTGACCGAGGCACAAGGGGAGACGGAGTGCTGGGGGGGGTTTCTTAGTGCTACAGTAAATGAAGCTGTGGTGATATCAGCTAATCCGTTGGAGTAAATGCATTTGAGCTCCAGTCCGTCAGTTCTGTTCTGTTAGTAAATTTCTCAATTTGCGACCAGCGTGACTTGCACAAAAGAGAAACTGTTGAATATTCAACACACGGCTGCATTTCATGTTTTCAAAAAAGGCAGTTTTATTGCAGTTTTAAATTACACAACGTTTCCCACCTCTCAACAACACTGCATTAGATTGCAAATTTTACATGTCTGTAACTGACACAGGTAAGTATGTCATGAAATTAATTATAATATAAAAACAAACAAAAAAATCACAGGAAATAAAATGAAGACAAACATCTGAGGACGCACATGTTGCACATTCACTACTTCTCTCTTGCTCAAACTATTCTATCAAGCCAGGTTTGTAGAAAAAGACAATGAAAACATTCATTCTGCATAGTCACAATGCACTTTGCATTTGCATGCAATAGATATTGTCTTGTGTTTTTATTTTACTTTTTTATGTTCACATTGTAGTGACTCTGCAAACCTTGGCAGCCCATCAGCTCTTCTATGTCACATCTTGAAAAATGTGTAGCTAACCTACTGTTTGATTGAATAAGGCCTAAACTGTCATTCTGTTAAATTTTAAATAATCTCCATAATAAAGCCTCTGGCCACATTTTTGACTCTGTTTTCATCTCTCTCCATCCTCTTATAAAAGTGTAATATAATATGGTAAAACATCATTTCTGTTCCCTAACAGGTTATAACAGCTCCTCCATCCTGCCAGTGTTATGCAACAGGCAGAACAAGATACACCGACGGACTGATATGACACAGACAAATGGACGGACAGGACAACCCTACAGTGAGCGACCAGTTCAGGTACGTGACCGTAACAGCACGAAAACGAAGCGTCATGATGTAACAGAGGTCAAACCTAAACCAGCTGTTTGCATTCCAGGAGGCTTAATCATGTCAAGACGATGAAAGACGAGTGAAAGTGAAGGAGGCCATGAGGCAGTACAGCAGCTTTTCCTGCGTCTTCGCCCGGACAGTCGGAGAGGGAGGCTGCTCTTCCGCAAAAACGCTTGAAAGGTGTAAAAGCTGAGAGAGTGCTGGGCTCAGAGCGTAAAAGGTAAAGGGACTCAGGAAAGAGAGCATCTGTCCTACCGAGAGCAGTCGTTCTGTTCTCACTTTGAATTGTCTCAGTGTCCGTTAAGTGGTTGGCAGTGCTTCTTTGGCGCCCCCTAGCTGGGAGAGAGAGCAGGACTGTTCTCTGTGCTGATGTTCACCAGGCACTCGCTGGACTTGAGGCTCGCCAGAGACTTGCAGCTGGGGAGGGAGGCCAAAGACCCACACAGGCCCATCATGGAGGGGGTGTAGTCTTTATCTGGAGGCAGAGGTACAAAGGAAGGGTCACTTCTAGTGCGTTTGGGGGTTTACTTACTATTGAGCAAGAAAACAGTGTGCTCCAGTCGGTACGTGACTGTCTGAGCTGTCACCTGTGCACCAGGCTCCTCCGTTCTGTTTCCCTTCAATCCTCTGGGAGTCTGAATCCAGGCTGACCTCCACCGACAGCAGCTCCGTGCTCGGAAAACTCCTCCTAAAGGTCAGAAAGAGGACAGATGATGTCGACATGCGATAGAGTTCTGAAAATGTGTGTTTCAGTTGAAGTTGATAAAAAAGAACAAAAATTGCAAACATTAAATACAAATGTTGGAGGCTTGTAAAAGCACGTTTTTCATTTAGAATTCATTCATGTGTCTGCTAACATTTAACAATCAACACTGACAGTCACCTCTGAGTGAAAGTAAAATGGAATTAAAACTATGAAACTATAAAAAAGCAAATAAATCAAAAGGTTGTTAAATTACTAATTAATAGTTTTAATTTAAAACTGAATGATAAAACGCATTTGTCTGCTCTTAATCATAATAATTTAACATGTATGGTTAACATCCTGTAATTGCTTTAGTTTCAAGACAGTGCTACTTCATTCCACCTGAACAGTTAATTAAATTGAACCTCCAGAGCTGCTGGAGCTGGATTATTGATTAGCAGAATACGATTAAACATAGTGAAAGCCTATTATTTTTCAGTGACACAATCCTGGCTCCATATCTACTATATTGGATTTAACAAAACTGCATTTACATTCTTTGTAGGCATATGTACGGTATGCATCTATGTATGTCTCTTGTGTTTTGTGAGTGTGTGTATTTTTTCAAATTGCACCGAAGAGACAGCAATCTTCCAAAACAGTTAAATGAATCACTTTGTATGTGAGCTACAGAATCAGAGACGGACAAACCTGCGGAACAGCTTCATGTCCTCGTGGTTGTTGTACGTCTCGAGCGCCGGCCACTGGTTGACGAGGGGGATGGAGAGGTTTTTGGCCAGGTGGCTGGAGTCACATGGAATCAAGCTTGTCCTGACACACAGGAGGGTAAAATATGAGACAAAAAGGCTTCGACTGGACTGATATAGACCACATACTGTACACTGATTAATGCCCATCAGTGTAGTTGGCACCGGGCTCCAGCTTCCAGCTTTGCACTGAGGAACATAGAGCTGAAACCTGGACACCGCCATCTGTCCGCTGCACTCACAGTTGCTCCTGAAGCTCCAGGACGATGGCCTCCAGTTCCTTTTTTTCCTGCTGGCTCTGGTTCTGCAGCTCCTCCAGTCGGGTCTTTAGCCTCTTGTTCTCCGTCTCCGTGTTCTTCAGCTGAGACTCACGCAGGCGTACAAGTTCCTCCAGGTAACCCTGACAACACACAGCCGCATAGTGAGAAGCATCCACCCTCGGATACTCATGTTAGACATCAGCCATCTGGGATGCTTAGTGTAATGCGGAAATGATGTTGTGGTGTTGTTTAGGGTGTGCACAGTTTCCCTCTAATCTACACAGCAAACACACAGAAAAAAAGAAGTTTGCATATTTAAATGTAAGAGTAACACATTTTATACATCTAAAATTATTTTTTTGTTTTTTTAAATTTCATCACCCAAAGCTGAAAGTCAACTGCATCATTTGAAGGCACAATATCTCATGTCTGTTCACTAAAGGTTCCATATGATAAAAATGTATTTTCAATTCAATTCAATTCAATTCTATTTGTATAGCACAGTTTACAACACATGGTATCACACAACGCTTAACAAAGTAAGGTATAGACTTTACAAATTTAACAGAGAACCCAACAATCCAAAGTAGCCTTTGGACTTCCTCTGAGCAAGTGGTTGGCAACGGTGGGATGGAACCAAAACCACCCCCAGGGGAGGGGGGGCAAAAACCTCCAGCAGAACCAGGCTCAGGGAACACGGCCATCTGCCTCGACTGGTTGGGTGAGAGTGGGGATGAGGGGGTGACTGTGTTTTGTGGTTGTCATAAACTCGGAGGTGTACAGTAAAAGCTGTAAATCCATGAAGCTGTTTACTTCCGCCCTTCCTTCCTTCATATCCTGCCAGCTTTACAAGCTAATTAGAACTTTAGGAGCTACCATGTTCCAACTGAAGCCTTCATTGCCCATGGCTTCCAGGTTGCAGAATGAGCAGCTGCCTCTCAGTTCACCAGATTAATAACCTTTCTGGGGCTGTATCATCTACCAGTGACGAGCAAATCACACAAAATGTTCCGCTGTTGGCTGCAAGAGTGAACACAAGAGTATTTATGCACTCGCAGCACCTGAGAAACTCTTTTTAGTTTTATTTTTGATGGCAGTACCAACACAACAATAGGACAATTCCTAGTATCTGCATCTAATGTTACCGTAAGCTTTTGATTATACAGCCACAGGTCAGAGCTCTGATGAAAGTGTAAAGCTGAAGGACATTCAGAACTTTAAGACCAATTTGAAACCAGTAAGCAAGGACTGGTAGTGGGTTACTGTGTTTTCATGTCTCTTGTTGTGCTTCAGGGCAACATAAACTCCACCGGTGTTGACATCTGTGTGCTTCTTTTATGTTCTCCGTGCTCACATATGCTGCATTTTTAAACAGACGAATTCCCAATAAACTGCTCTCATTTACATATTCGTTTGTTCCTGTTGTCAGACAGCAACAGAATGAGTATGAAATAGTGACTGAAACAGCCTATTAGGACTACGTGTTAACACTTCCTTTCCAAGCTGCCACTCTCGCCACTAAAATACTGATTTTACAACCACAATGTTTACACATGTCTGTGTCGCCTGCCTTGTGGTCAACTGTTTTGTTTTGTTTTGAGAGCCTTCTTCCTGACGGGGTTGTGGACGGCAGCAGCTCAGCAGCATTTAAAGACACTGAAACAGCCTGTTTAGCACAGGATATGGTGAAATCAACCAGCTCACCATACTGTGACCTTAAAAATTGAAAGTCACATTGCAGGGACATGTGAGAGATTAATTAGCTTAAAAGGGGCACAATATGGGATCTTTAAATATGAAGCTACAGACAGTAGTCAGCATAAAGGTTTGAAATATTACGAAAGCTGTAACCTAAAGGAAGATTTTTTTTTCTGGCACACAACCCCTGATAAATTAAAATAAGTTTTTTTAATGAATGAAATTTAGATTTTAAATAAGCTCAATTACATTTTGCTGAAAAACGCTGAACACAAAGAGATGTCCGCCTACCTTCTGAGCATTGACGATCTTAAACCTCTGCTCCATCTTGCGGCACTTTGTGCTCCAGCTCTCCTCGTCAGTGACCAGTGGGATGTAAGGATGTTCAGGGACGCTGTCGTCACTCGTGCTGCTGTCAATGCTCTGTCGATCGTCGTCGTCACTCAGATAATCATAGCTGCAACACAAACCGCCAATTTCAGTGTGTAATTGACTTTAAATGGAGGGTACGCTGTGAATAATACCGAAATAAACTTTGTAAAGGGCAACAGAGTGTTTTTCTGATTTGAAAATCTAACATCGGAATAAAACATGAGATGTTTTTTAGAAGTGTGGTTACTGAAAGTAGCTGTGATAATGTTCTCACCTTTGTGTGAATTTCAAGTATGGCGTGTAGTCGATCACTGCAGAGGATTTCCCATCTAGGGCCTCCCCTTTTAGACAAAAACTTTGGAGAAAAAACACCCACATATGAGACAACTATACACAGCTAAACTAACCGCTTTATGTCAAAAGTCTAGACGGCCCACCTAAAGTCTATGGCTCCGAGACCTATGAGCATCCCTGTTAGCACTGTGGCTTCTTCTCGTAACATGATGGCTCCTTCTGCATAGAACCTCCTGCAGCACAGAAACACACAGCCCGGTGGGATCATGTTTCTAGTCACGATCTGGTGATACTACTGCACATAGAGATGCGATGGGACTTCTGACCTGGTTGTCCTGCTGTCCCTCAGGGCAGTGGCGATGTATTCAGACAGTCTCTTCTCCATCAGGGCGACTCTCATCCAGGCTCTGCCCTGTAGGGGTCACCGGAGGCCAAGAGATCACTTTAAACATTCACATCAAATACAAAACCTTTTACCATTTAGTTATTTTCACATTTTACAGCTTCCTTTTACATATCTGATCATAGAAATTTGATGTGCAACTTTGAAAATAGCATGATCATATGAAGCACTAATGACAAACTACCAAGTTGCTATAACAACAAATCAAAAGTGCTCTAATCTTTGTTTCTTTCTCATGAAATACTAAAAAGCTCTACCTCTATTGGCGTGTATATTAAGTATTTAGAGGTTTACTTCACCAACATTATCATTGGTTAAGTTTCTGCTGAGCTCTGGTTTGAATTTCACAAAGTCCACATGTTCTCAGGTGACTTATTTACTCTTCTTTAGTCCTTTTGCTTCACTGGAATTATCCTGAGCCTTTATGCTGCTATGACCTTTCCTGTCATGGAACGTAAAACTTGCCTTGGCTCGCGAGGTGCTGATGTTCTCCATGCTCTCGATGCTACTGATGCAGCTGTTGGGGACTTTACCACAGGCCAGGCGGATGTAGTCCCAATAGCTCCTCTGACCATCGAACCAGCTGCCGGAGCCTGCAAGAGGAGAGATGATACATGTGATATATACAGTAAGAATATTCATTTCAATACACACTGAGGCTGCTGAGGAAGGAAGACACTAAACGTTAAAGTACTGACTGCTGAATTAAACAGACTCCTTTTAGTATTTATATAAAACAATAACAAGCAAGCATTGATTTCTTGTTTTACAATTTTAAAAATGACAAAAATTAGTGTTTCTTTCTCTGTATTTGAAAAATGTAATTTCTTTCTCTGATGTAAGCTGCCATTCAATATTTCTTCCAATTTAATGCCTTCAACATGCACCCGAGCCCTGACAAATCCCCTCTGAGGTTCATTACCTTTAAAACGGTGGCTGAGGATGTGTTCGAGGATGGCTGCGAAATTGATGAACTCTTCAGACGAATCATCAATGGGCTCCGCTGTGTATTTCTCCAACAGGGTTTTGACTGAAAACCTGTGTGGCAGAGCGAGAAGGGAAAGCTAAACAGAGAGTTTGCTTGCCAGGAATGAAGCCGTCGTGGGAATAGGTTATTCCAGCAGATTAATGGATTACTGCTTCCTTTGTGTCCGTTTACTGTTGGCAGAACATGTCATGAATCTATATAAGAACTATAATTAAACATTTTTAAATCTATTTTAGCAAACCACAGATCTAATCATAAAAAACACGGTTCTGTGCCAGTGTAATGAATTCAGTGAAACTCTCCCACATTGTCGTACGTGTGCGTTTTCTTCCCATGTGATTGATTTGTGGGGATAATTGCGTGAATTCTTACAGTCTACCTTCCATTTCCTGCAGACTCATTTCTACACTTCAGCCTGATGTCATCCATTTACTGAGTAGAGGAGGCGTCATGGAGAGCTTTCAGGAAGCTCCAACAACTCAATTTAGTTTTTACTGGGCTGCCTGGATTTATGACTCCAGTCTGATGTAACACAGTCACGGCTGTAAGGAGGCCTTCCTGTGATGCATTGCTGGCCTTTCAAAGAGCAGTTTTGACTCACACGAATATACATTGGAATCATAAAGTATTAACTCTTTCTGCACCGTTTATTGAGTTAAAGATTTCGTTTTAAACTGAACTCTCCCTTTGCCAGAAGACCATATTACAGTCACAGCATGTTGTAGAATTTTGCTAATGTTCCTGTGGATATCTACGTAAATGGTAGTTTAATGTAAAACCTGGTGGGGAATGTTGAGTGAATTGTAGATGATGGATCAGATTCTCGTCACTAATCCGAGTCAGTCATCCAGGCATCCATTTAAACACTGATAATGACATTTTTTATTGGTTTCAGGTAGAGACTGTGTAATGAGCCTTGTTCATTTATTCACTTCTTCTCTAAAAGGAAGTACTTTTGAGGAAATCCAGTGATATTATATCTCTGGAAAATCAGAGACTGTTCATTAAAAGTGGATATAGCTATCATGACTTGGTTTGTGGACTACAACTCTGAAGCCTCCAGTTTGACATTTGGCCGTAGTCTACTTGGTCTTTTGAAACAAGACATGATGAGAAGTAAATCTGACTGAGAAGTTGAAGGCAGCGACCTGTCAATCACAAGGAGGGCCCCGCCCTAAAACATACCCTGCTTTACTCTGTACTTTACTCCACATGGGACCATTATTTAAAAAGTTAATGTTGTGCTATATTCAAGACAACTTAAAACTAGCAATTGAAACCATAAAGTTACTTGAAAAATGTTTACTGTGGTAACAAATCAAGTGAGAAGTACAGTCATTTTTTCATAGACATCTATAAATCTGACTTCTTTCTGCAGCTACTGGAGTCGCCTCCTGCTGGCTATGAGGCAGAATGCACGAAATTCACTTCTGCACTAACTTCACTTTACACACCACGAGGTTACGTCCATCTTTTATATGCAGCTAAAGGAAACCTAAAGGGAAACAAGAGTCTACAGAGGACAGTTAAAGGCTTTGTGAGGTTGCAAGCACATATTGTGCATTGAGCTAAAGGCTAATGCCAACATGCTAACATGCTCACAATTATCACGCAAACTGATGTTTTGCAGGTTCGTTTTAATATGTTCACCAACATTTGCTAATAGAGGTTGATGAAACTAACATTAATTTTGTTTTTTATTGAAAAAATCTGAATTTTGACCTGATAATGTCTGAATGAAAACTTAAGGGATCATTAAAGGGACTACGGTTCATCATGGAGGACTGTGAATGTTTGTACTGATTGGAAATCTAGTCAATAGTTGTCGTCATTCCTCTAAAAGTACAAATGTCAGTCACATGGCAATGCTACACAAAAATCCTTATGATGGACCAAATTAGTGACATGTGTCTCTAATTGTTGTTGTTTCATTCAGGACCAAAGTGATGGACCAACCACCTGACATTCCCTTGATGGCTAGTATTTCTAAATATCTTTTAAAAAGGTAATTTGGATCCTCCAGTGTAAGAATGGTCCTGCATAACAAGGGTTGAACTTCAGCCGTGTTGACCGCTTATTAAAATATACAACCATAAACCCATAACCCCCCATGCTGTGGTAAACAAAATGATTTATTATTTATTTTAAGTAACATTATCTTTCTCCAGAAATGACCTCTCCTAAATACTTTCCTGGACTCTAAATAATTCATCAGCTCTTTTTGCTTCAAGAACACCTGCCAAATGCTATTTGTCCAGGGACAAGGAGACATGCTGTGGGGTGAAAGGGCCTAAATGGAAGAAGAGAACCCCTGCAGACATGGCCTCTGCAGTAGATAGAGAGGGATTTTATTTTGGGTAGATATTGATCATGTTTTGCAGACTCACCAACTCTGAATCTTAGCGGCTACTTTACAAGCAACACACAGTGTCCGTTCAGACGACGTGTGTGGACATCTATAAGACAATGCTTATCTTAACACGAGCCAGTGAGGCGAGTGATTTCTGTCCCCATTGTTCCAAAGGCAACAATGTCTCATTCAGCCACTGCGGCTGGACAATAATTGGCTGACTATCCTCAAAACGAGCACAATCCCCTGTGTTTTCACTGTATTACAGACAGCAGGGCAGTGGCATGACCTAGATACACCTGTCTCTGCTCAGCGGAGGTACACTGTTGTTCACCGACATGCGTGTCTCATAAGTGTTATTCACCTTCAACTCCACATAAAGTATGTGACATGTTAGTGGAGTCCACAGGTTTACTCTGTGGGCTGAAACACTTCAGTAGCTGATGACTTTGATGCAGTCAGATTTTCTCAGACAGAGCAGATTCAATCTGCAGTTTCTTAATTTGACTACAGCATTAACTGTACTGACAAAAGATTTGCTTTGAAAAGGCTTAATTGGGGTCCTTTTTGTTTGGAGTTTGCATGTTCTCCTTGTTCCTGCGTGGGTTTTCTCTGGGTGCATCCTCCCACAGTCCAAAGACCAGCATGGCAGGCTAATTGGTGTTTTTAAAATCAGCTGTAGGTGTGATTGTGATCATACATGATTGTTTTTCGCTTTGCATTCTCACGCAATAGACAGCTGGGACAGGTTCCAACCCTCTGCGACTCTCTCCAGGACAAACTGGGTCTAGGTAATGGATCCACAGATGAATTTGGACTTCATGATAAATGCTAGTCCAGTATTCAAACTCACTAAATCTGAAGGAAATTCTGAGCTAGTAAATGCTCCACTGCATTCACCAGCTTGTGGCTAATTTAGTCTGCAGTTTGGTGCATGTCTTACTCAGGCTTTTTGCTGAAAATAACTACAGGAGGGTAGAGAGTGAACTGAAACTGTAGCAGTGAAGGCCTGAAAACCAAAACAATGACCTGAAACAGCTGAGTCATGTTTCTGTGACTGTTCATATCATGTGGATCCTAATCATTTAATCCACTGTGAAACGTTCCTGCTTCCCTCTATTATCTACATCCGCTTTTTCCTGTCGAGGGCTGCAGGAGGATGGAGCCCATCTCAGCTGATAGGAGGAGAGGCGGAGTAGACCCTGGACGGGCCTCCAGTTTATCAGCATCAACACAGCGACACAGAAAACCCCTCACACCTACAGACACTTAAGCTAATCAATAGTTAACCTGCTGTGCTTGTGTTTGGACTGCGGAAGGAGAAAACCAACCCAGATGCAAACAGACAAGACGAGCAGGTTCAAACCCAGAATCTTCTTGCTGTGAGGTCACAGTTCTAACTAATGCACCTCCGCGCTTTTATTGACTGTGAACATTAAAATACAAATAACTGCGGCTTTAAATTTGCTTCAACTGCAGCAGGACTGAGCTGCAGAACAACATCTCCTCCGCAGGATGAAGTTTGCTGTCTTTCGAGGACAGAAATCTGGGTCTCCAGGCCTCGTCAGAGAACAAATGCACGTCTGCTTCACCCCTCACAGCTCTTGTATGCACAGTTTGTGTTTACGCACGACATCTGAGTGCTGAACCTCTGGCAAAGTGGATTTAAGAGAAAATCTCTCCAACAACCCCACAAGGTCCAATCAGGACCCGATGTACAGGCCACATACTGCCTCCTTGCCCCGAGTCCCTGGGGTGCCAGCTAGTCCTTGCCCCAGGAAGGTTGTCGTCATAGCAACCACGCCATCAGCACAGAGCAAATACATTGTGGTGACAAAGCTGACACCGCTGAACATACACAGACGGGGCCAGTCTGTCTGGGCGCTGTGGGATTGGATGTAAAGAATATTCATAAAGCAAGGTCGTTTATGCATATGAGCTGCAGGCTTGGCGTCCACGCAGGCCCACTGTCACAGCAGAGTTCATAAAAAGGACTTATGGGCATGACGTCAGCGTGGATGTCAAGATAGGCTGTGTCTTATTGGAAATAGTGGGAATAAACCCACCGGGAGCTGTGGAAAACCCACCAGCAGCCACGATCACATAGAACAAGCACTGATCCCATTTAAAGCCTCCATTCACACACACACATGATGATAAACTGACCTGCACACCGTCAGGAGGTTTTTTCTCTCCACCGCCAGGTTCCGAGCAGACGCTTTTTTCGAGACATCTCCCATGGCCATCGCTGCCTGCACACAGCCGGGCTCCATCCAGGAGGAGGAGGCAGCCTCCTGAAATCAAAGGACCCCTCCCTGTCGGCCGCCGGCCCTCCTCCTCCTCATTCACTTCTGGATGCCGGAGAGAAGGATGCTGCTGGACCGCATCAGAGCCGCTGACGGGCGGCAGCAGCAGCAGCAGCAGCGGGGCTCAGATTCAGGGAGGAGGATGCAGATTGATGCATCAGAGCGTGGATCTGTTGTTGTTATCAGTGCTGAGCTCACAGGACTGATCTGAATCTAAGTCCTCTCTCTCTCCCTGTCTCTGTCTCCGCCCACTTTTTTGACTTCACCATGACGCAACTGGATCATCTCGCATCATGAACATGACGAATCACCAGAGCAGCTCCACTGACACGCACACTTTCACAGCACTTTCCTGCTTTACCACACAACCGTGCTGCTCCTTTGGGGATTGAAGCTGGTGAAATATGCCACATGATCTTAAAGGTCCCATATTTTGCGCCTGTTCAGCAAATTGATGAAAGTCTGGCATGTTCCCAGAATGCATGTTTCAAATTTACAGCTCGAAAATACTGCAAAGATGATTCATTTAATCATAATACTTGGTTATAGCCTTGTTCTAAAAGGCTCTTTTAGTGTTTGCAGCTTTAAATGCTGATTAGCTCAGGAAGAAGACTCTCTGCACATGTGATTGACAGCAAAACATGTGAACAACATATTTGTATTTATTTATTTATCAACCTTTATTGAAATCCCATTGAGATTAGCAACCTCTCTTGCAAAGGAGTCCTGACCAAGATATGCAGCAGCAAATACAAAACACAGTTACAAAATTACACAGTTGAAACACTATTAATGAGCCTCGAGAACTCACAGTTTGGATTTAAAATCACTCAATGAGATTAACTCGGATAAAAGAGTGTGAGATAAAGACTTTCCATCTGTTTGTGATTTTACATGAAAAATTAGCTGAATCCACGGAACAGTTGTTCTTTTTAACTCGTGTCTTTGGTGAGTCTGTCAGACAATGCTGTGGTTATAAAATCAGTATTTTAGCAGAGCTTGGAAATAGCTCTGAAGTAACATGTAGCTGTGTTTGTGTCACTGTTTCACACTTGTTCAGGTGTCTGACAGCAAAAACAGAAAATGATGTAAAAGAATTTGCTGTAAATTCAGCAGTATTGAAATTGAGTGTATGTGAGCACAGAGGGCAGGAGTTGATTTATTTGAAGTATGTCACAAATAATAACAATAATTGCTGATTTAAAAAAAAAGAAACAAACAAGAACATTTGAAATTAGATTTTGACCTTTTTCCTGAATCATTCTCGTAGTTTAATCGTAACAACTGGACTTGCTTGAAAAGAAGACCATGTGTTCAATGTATTTTATATTAATAATGAATGTTAGAAAAAGATGCTGTAAGAAAATGACACTGAGGCTTTTCACTTATTGGAGTATCTTTAGTTTTTGTGTGTTTTCAGTATATTTCAATACCTTTTCTCCATAAGGGTGCTACTAATACAACTAAGTCTGTATCGTCTGACACCTTTTTGGGACTGCAGCTCCCTCCCTCATATGTATTCTGCAGTTTAATTTCTTGTTCAATAACAGTTTCTGAAAATAGGATGACAGCACAATGAGGGTGATATCATCACGGCCAGCACCACGCTCATCACGCAGAATCATTTCCCCCTGCTGTAATTTCCGATCAGCATCCTCCTCACTCTCCTCCCTGCTTTCTTGTCGCGCCTCCTGCTACCAGAGTCAACACTCATATGTTCATCTGAATCAACTGTAAAGTGTCATGGAGACTCCAGCCTTGTCCTCTCTAATGAAGGGACAGCTGGTTGCCTCCATACGTTGCTGGGTGGGGGCAGGGAGTCGAGCTTTTTTTTTTGTCCCGGTGGAGGAGCGATCACTCAAGCATATCGGCTTCTCCATATGTTTGGACTCGTCATATGGCTGTTGTGATGTCAGATATGTCAAATGTTAATCTTAAGTAAAGCCTGTGATGTAAAATAAGAGAACGTTAGAGTCGTAAACAGAAGTAACATGTGGTGACAATAATACCTCATGGTTTGGGTTCTCTTACAAAAAAAGGCTTGTATGTGATTTTTGATATGTAGTTTGGGTGAGATTGAAGATAAGAACCCTCTGGATTGTTTTTTAAATTTAATTGCTTATTACATGATGAATTAAAGGTTAAACTATTAATATGTTCTGTTTGGATTAAAAAAAAGCTGAGCTGTAACAGATTTTTTTTCAGATCCCTCCAAATAAAGACAAACAAGTCAGACTATGTTTCAAAATAACTGCCTTTTTTCTTCTTTTTTTAAAAAAAGGTGGTCTCGTGTGTTTTAAAGAGTTGTAAAAGGGTCTCGTGTCTGTTGCATGTTCTTTCCTTTACACTGTAAATAAATGTAACCTAATTTAGCTTAGAAATGTGACTTGGGTTGATTCATTAGTTTAAAGTCATCTCACTAATTGTGTCTAAGTAGCTGAGTTAAATCAGCTGAACTTGAGAAAACAAGGTCAATAAAATTAGGATTCACACAGATGATGGTTCCAAACAGACATGACTTCTTTTAACACTTTTTTCTATGTTGTATGAGTTTCTTCTTCATTTAACCTTAATAACTTGGGAGTTTTTTCCCCCTTATTTTTTCAGTACAAAGAAAACTTGCACAACTGCTCCTGATTACTGGTGAAATAAATGATAAATCTATCTAAATACTATATTAAATATTCGTCTTTGACATGGTTACAACTGCTTTGATAATTAAAAAACAAAACTTCATTGAACATGTATTAAAGACAACACAGCAGGTTTCCATCATTTCTGTTTCCTCAAACACCAACAAACAAGAATCTGCTTCTTTGTTTCTTCTGAACATAATTTATAGAACTGAGTGAACGCTCAGCTGTTCATCCATTCAACTAATCTTTTGAAGTAAAACTGCCTCATGTTTTTAGGCTCTAAAGCAGTTTGATAAAATGAGACATTGTAAGTCAAATGAACTAAAAACGAGCAAAACCCCTAAATTTACTTCAAGTAAGCCAGAAAAGACGAGTTGATTTGACTAAAATCTTTTTTGATGTATGACTGTGAACACGTTTGTAGTGTCTTGGTCTGATATCACT